TCTGTTTCACTTTCTTCCTTTTCTTCAGAGATTAGTTTGGAAAAGTCATAGGAATTCTTAATTTCCTTCAAAGACCCTTTAGCAATCAACTTTCCATTCTCAAAAACAATGACTTCATCAGCCATTTCCAATAATTGAAGTGAATGTGTAACGAGAATTCTAGTTCTATCCTTCAAAAATCCACAAATGCATTCATTGAAAATCTTTCTACACAATTTGGCATCAATTGAGTTGAGTGTGGAATCCATCAAGACAATTTCAGAATTACTGTAACAAGCTCTGGCTAAACTAATTCTATGTTTTTGACCTCCTGAAAGATTAATTCCAGAAAAACCAATTTCAGTCTTATCATAATTTGGGAATCGACTGAGATCATCTCTTAATTGACAAACATCCAATATTCTATTATATCTTTCCCTGTCAAAAGTTAAATTCTTATCAAAGACAATATTTTCCCTTACAGATGCATTGATCAACCATGGGGTTTCATCACTGAGTGAAATATTACACAATGGATTAACTTTAACTTTTCCGCTCTTTACAACAGATTCACCATAAATGGAGGAAATTAAGGTTGATTTTCCACTACCAGTATTACCAATGACACAGTAGAGCTTTCCTCTCTCAATTTTCAAATTTAAATCAGTGAGGGTTGGAGCTTCCTCTTCTGACCATCCAATGGAAGCATCCTTACATTCAATAGCAGTGTCATTATCCATAATGGATGAAAATTCAGTTTGTTCTTCATCATATTCCCACAAGTTTGCCTTATTTTCATGATCATGTGGTAATTTCACAGTATCTTCACTAAACAAGAATCTACCAATACGTTTGGCACTCACATAGGCGAAAACCAAGTTTGAAATGGCCCAAGGTAAATGCAACAATGGTAATCTAAAGGTTCCAAACAACACTAGTCCAGTAAACATTTTAGGTAAAGTCAAATCTCCACCTGCATAGTAGAAAGTCACAAAAGTAGCTCCACTTCCAACAATGGCCATCAGGGATGAAGTAAAGCAATATCCACTCATTACAGTAACATACTTTCGGAGGAGTGAATATTCCTTTTCTCTTGCTTGATTAACCTTTTCTTTCATCTTATCTTCAAAAACATAAAATTTAACAATTCTAATACCATTCAATATTTCACTCATGTGTTTGATTCTTTCATCTCTGAATTGTGCAGCTTTGCCTGCAAAACTAGTTTGATATTTACCCAAAAATGGAAGAACTGGTCCACATATAATCATTGCAAGAACACCAACAAGTGAGCTATATCCAAAAAATACGAAAACCAACACAATACCAACAATTAAGGTCAATGGCATTAACCAAGCTTCATGAATATCAATACCATCCATGGCTACACTTCTGGTGTCTATGGCAAATAGATTGTTCAACTCACCACTTTTGAATTTTCTTCTTTCCACACTCTTGATTCTATTCAACTTTTGCAGGATTGAACCTTGAAGAGCTCCAATGAGTGGAATCCAAATTTTAGAAGTTGCAAAAAAGTACTGATGATTAAACAATGAGGCCATTGAGTTGAAAGTGAATAATAAAATTACCAAAGTTAACTGGAAGAAAATATTTGAGAGTGGCAAGTTTTCTTGAAACCAATTTGTTTCATTGTTCATTGTGAAATTGGATGCAATGACAGTGTCATTACTCAATATTCCGTAAGAAGATGTTGGAATTAAATATTGAGTGGCTGCTGGTATAGCACTTTTCACATACTCATCAACCTTGATTGACTCGAGTAAAATATAGAGAATGAGTGGTGACATGTACAAACATATCATTTCTGCAACTCTCCACAAAGGAACTGTATACAATCCTCTTCTTCTATAAACTCTCTCAATTACTCTCAACAATAAACCTCCATAATTCTTTCTAAATCCTCCATCTTCACGATAATTGCCCCTCTCACGATACAATTCTCTATATTCTCTTTCGAATAATTCACAATGATTGCTCGACTTTTCACTTTCGGCCAACTTGGGAATATCCCCATGATTCATTCCCTCCTCCTTTCTAATCTCAAATCGACCAAAGATTCCAACACGATTCAACATGTTCTTTATCATTTTCATCAAATAATTCTCACCAGCCCTTCTAAAGCCAATACTCATCAACTTGCCAGCAAACATAAAGAACAAGATTGATATCCAAGAAGCTCCCTTATGCAATGGCTCTGGGGACGAATCATCATCATTCCCATTCTTAAACACTTCACCACCAGCATAATCTTCATTGAGATCAAGTTCTTCCAATTCATCACCATTTAGAGATGATGAACTGATCAATGGTGGCATGTTGGTGTTGTAAATCTTTTTTTTTGGTTTTCTATTCACAAAATTCAGTGAAAGAGGGAAAATTTGAAGATTTTTAAGAAGGTTACTGTGATTAGTGTCATTGCATTTTGGAAATGATGTATTGGTGGAGCTTGCGGAGAGGAGGGGATTATAATTTGTACTCAATTTCAAGAATTACATGTGATGGTTTGGCATTTGAATCTTCAAATTTAACAATATCTATCCAAAAATATTCAAAGTGATTCGTTCAGTGCTGTGAAAATTGTTGTGGCTACCAACTCAACCTGAAACTCCAACTACACCAGTCACTCCAGAAACACCAATTCGAAAATCTTGTTTCTGATCATATTTTCTTCCAATTGTAAATGTTTCTGGTGTGGGACGCTACATTTAGTTTAACATTTTGAATATATTTCAGAATTTGAGATTGTAGATGGCTACGGCCATATCACGATGAATGCACCTCATCCCGTCCGATTTGAGAAGTTAAGCATCGTCGAGCCACATCAGTACTGAGGTTGGAGACAACTTGGGAACCTGTGGTGCTGTAGTCTTTTTCAAATTAACTTCTTTTTGTTAAATCAGTTGAGAAATGGACAATAACCTACTTCTAAATGTTTTAGTTACAGAGCAGGTAAATTTGCCTATAATAAGAGATGACAAAACAAATAATAAATTGGATTATTAAATTATGTATAAAAATCACAGAGCAAAATCTTTTGTTTGATAATTTGTTGATTGACACTTTTCAGCATCATGGAATGGTTTCGAAACGGAATTCGAAACTAATCAAAAAAAATGAACAACTCTGAGAATACCTCTGACACCATCAAACAAGATATTTCGGAAACTATGAAACAACTAGAAGAAAAACTTTCCTCCTGGAGCACTTCCATGACAAAGAGAGAACACGAATTCCTTGAATTGAAAAAAGTTTCCACCAAATACGAATTCCAAGATGGTGAAATAATTAAACTAAACGTTGGAGGCGTTGTTTTTGCAGTTTCCAAAGAACTTTAACTCAAAAATTGATCAAACCTTCAAAATCATTAGAACTACGCACTATGATCCAGGGATCCTCTAGAG